GCTATAGTGAATTGTTACTCTTCTATAATTACTATATACTTGCAGTTTTCTTCCAAATAAAGATGTTTCTAGATGCAAAAAGCAATGCATGTGCACACTGTAACGTTTTCTTAAACATGGTCAATTTACAAATATCTGTGGTGCATTATGTTGGTGGTTGTCCTTGAGTGGATTATGTTGGTGGTTGTCCTTGAGTGGATTATGTTGATGGTTGTCCTTGAGTGGATTATGTTGATGGTTGTCCTTGAGTGGATTATGTTGGTGGTTGTCCTTGAGTGGATTATGTTGATGGTTGTTCTTGAGTGGAATTATGTTGATGGTTGCAAACACTGCCAAACAGTGAAATAAAGATAATATGAAACATTATCCCACTCAAAAATAGGTTATAGTCCAGATGAAGAATCAAATTCACTGGTCCATAATAAATACAGGTCAGTGGTCTATTGCATTGAGGGCAATGTGGTGTGACCAAATTAGCCAATCACAAGCTGCAGTTTCGGTCATGTGACAGTTTTTGACAGATTGAGTGATTGACAGTCAGTTTTCAAGACCATGTGGACGATACGGTGGCAAGAAAATTCGCTCTTCGTTGCAAAAAAAGAAAACCAGGTGTGTATATCTCTGAATACTCTGCATAAAAAGGAAGATATTATTCAAACAATGTTTCAAATATTTAAATAGTTATTAAACACTTTTTTGTCTTTTACTGTTTCATTTTAGGCCGAAATCCGTCGACGAAAGCTGGATTCAATGGTCGTGAATTGAACAGTATGTGTTAAATAGTCTGTTATCTGTTAGTTATTGAACTAAAACGTTTATCAGCTAAGCTAGAATTGTTCTGCCTTCAGTATTCGTACCAATAAGTGTCAATTATTAAGGCAATAAGTGTCAATTATTAAGTGCAGAAAAGTAAGTCCAATTTTTCAGCGTATTTAAGCCGCTGCTAGGCGCTGCCGTTTAGACCATATATCTTTGATTTTTTAAGTTTCCTTTGTTGTAAGCAAAGCTAGAATAGCTTCAGCATAGTTTTCGTAACGATTTCTACTAATTTGCAGAAGAATTAGGTCCACATTCTCAGTTTTTCTATCGAGTTTCCATGTTGCGACGCCGTTGTTTTTTTCAACTGTTGTAGTCGCCGCCGTTTAACTTTTAGAGCATATTGTTTAGTTTTTCAAGCTTTCTTATAGTGTAAGCAAAGATAAAGTAGTTCTGCCTTAGTATTTGTACCAATTTGCAGAAGAATTAGGTCCACATTTTCAGCGTTTTAGCGAGTTTCCATGCGTGTTTGCAACGCCGATGTTTTTCAACTTTGTGGTCGCCGCCGTTCAACTTTTAGGACATTTTGTTTAGTTTTTAAAGCTTTCATATATTGTAAGGAAAGATGAAGTAGTTCTGTTTGAGAATTCGTATAAATTTGCAGAAGAATTAGGTCCAAATTTTCAGCGTTTCTAGCGAGTTTCCATGCATGTGCGTGTTTGCAACGCCGGTGTCTTTTTTAACTTTGTAGTCGCCGCCGCCGTTCAACTTTTAGATCATATTGTTTAGTTTTTAAAGCTTTCATATATTGTAAGCAAAGATAAAGTAGTTCTGTCTGAGAATTCGTATAAATTTGCAGAAAAATTACGTCCAAATTTTCAGCGTTTCTAGTGAGTTTCCATGCATGTGCTTGCAACGCCGGTGTCTTTTTTAACTGTTGTAGTCGCCGCCGTTTAACTTTTAGTTTTAGAGCATATTGTTTAGTTTTTGAAGCTTTCTTATATTGTAAGCAAACATATAGTAGTTCTCCCTGAGTATTCGTATCAATTTGCAGAAGTATTAGGTATTTTTTGGTGTATTGGGGCCGCCGTGCGGGGCTTCAATCTCGCGGCTCGCCGTCTTCTTTTTAAATGAAGGTCTTGAAGCACGCTGCAGCGGCATTTATATTTATACGATAGATAATGGACGTTTGTGATATCACTGCAGCAAGGAATTGATATATTATGTTTATTCATTTAAATGCGTTTGATTTAAATCACGCCTTCTGCTATTTGATCCCGTAAAAATGTGAATTCGCATGTGCTTCGTTCCATTTGCCGGTGTTCATTCAGGCAAATTAGATTAAGAATATTTAACTAAAATTTACTTGGTGTGTTAAAAAGATGAAAAAGGGGCGTTTAAAAACCCCAAATGACATTATATAAACAAGGCCAAATGACAGCACCCTATAAATCGTTTTTTACCCACACAAAGCCGGTTAATAATCAGCAAGTGTGTAATAGACCTTTTCGGTAAAAACGTCACAACATTATCGTTTTAACTTTTAAATTTAAACTGATTTGTATTTTACAAAACTTACATTTTCTCTACCTTTTTTTTACTGAGTGTTTTTTTATTTGAAATGAATACAATAAAGCAACATGAGAGACACCTATTGTTGGTTACTTATTAGAACACCCTGAATAATTCTGTATATTCCTATTTCCTATGGTATATTAACATATACTACCATCAGAAGTATGGATTGATAAGCATGTGGATATTGTGCTTATACTGTACTTATTATCACTCTTTCATTTATTCATTTTAGTTGTGATGATGGAGAAATGCTACCATTTTGCATGCAAATACAAAATCTAAAATAAAATTCAAACCAGACATTTTATGCAATAAAAATCAAACCAAACATTTTATGATATTACCAGACATTTTGAGGCTCCTCTGTTTTTAATTTTCAATTTTTGGATTGCATGCAGCTCAGATCCCAACCCTTGGTTACATCTTGCATGTTTTGTCAGGAGTAATGAGTAAGTATAAGTGATCAGGGGCCCGGGTCATTTATACTTTCTGTATGCTCGACTGACCTAGTCCGGCATAGGCAAAATATTGCTCTTGGAGCACACAAAAAAAGAGATGCATGTTGAGATTAAAAAGGGGGTATAATGGTCGAGTGTTAAATGTCTGTCCCATTTTTGAATGAATGCATGTGTTAAATCTTGCTAAATTTGCATGTAATTTCGAAAATGCATGAAAATTTTGTATTCGCATGTACAATGAGCATCGTGGTGAAGATGATGTTGGTGGAGCTCATGCAGGTAACATACCATAGGTGAGCTTGTTTCATATCATTTCAGATGTTAAGAAATGAATCATTTCAGATGATGATGGACCAGCCGACGATGACTGATGATGATGGACTACCCGATGACGATGACCAGCAGACGATGACAGAAGATGATGGACTGAAGACAAGTTTGATGGGTGGTATTATTCAGTTTTCTTGCATTCTATCCTGTGCATGCTTGTTTTCCTGGTGGTCTGCACTGAATGTGTAATACATTAAGTGAAATTCTTATTTCCCATTTTGACATTGATGAAATAAAAATTCCAGATTGCATGCAGAGCAATTAAATTAATGTATACAGCATGTTTGATTCTTTGAAAATGCATGTTCCTGATTTATCACTTAATGTGTAATACAATTGGTGAAATTAATGCATGATATTACTGAAGTATCCAATGGTGCGGCTAAAAATGATGAAGCATGAACTCAACTTGAAGAATGGAATTCGTACACAGGTAACTGTGAACAAGAACCAGGTACGCATATGATTGTATTTGTTTGTTGGCACATAAGGCATTAGCATAAAAAATTTGCAACAAAATATTACAGTAATGCGCCACAAGATTGATTTCTGTAAGTGCATGTGCGAATGAAAATAGCGAAAATAATAGCATGAATTATAGGTGGTTGATGTATTTTAACAGGTATGAGATCCAAAATTAGCTGTGAAATATTCCAGTTATGCATGCCACAATTTAACATAAAGTACATTGTTCTAATTAGAGTAATTGACTTTCTAAGTGCATGTGACAGCAAGATAATAGCATGATTATAGATGACCGTAATATAACTTATCTGAAATTTTCAAATATCCAATCTCATTTGTTACCTGAAGTTAACATAATACACCAAAGTGTTTAAAAAGCGAGTGTCCAGAATGATCTTTGCCAGTGCTTTATGGGCAGAAGACTCTTTCTTAAGCCATGGCTTCTTTCTCTCACTTTCATTAAGAGGATCATGTTCACATTTTCCACCATTTACACCTTCCTCCAACACCCACTCATGCTCATCAACAACATGGTGTAAAATCCAAATACAACATAAGGTGACTACATATTAACACATGTATGTACAGTTTGTACGAACTAGATAAGTATTGCTGCAAAAACCAGTAGTACTTCAATGTGAATCTTACTTTGAGATTTTTTGAGTCATTAGCACATGTTTTTGAACAATACCAAAAATGGTTCCTTATTGATGGTGCCCACAAGGTCAAATCTGCATTGTCTTTAGATTTAGCAGCCTAAAGAATAAAATCAATTCTAAATAAAGAAAGTTTTTTAACTAATTGCTGGTTGATATCTTCAACACTTACAGTAGTGATTTTCTTTGCAATGTTCTTTGCTCCATGCCACACATCATTCTGATGTGTGACCTCCTTATATTCTCTTCCCTTTCTAAAAAATGCAATAATGCTTAATTAATAAACAAATGCATGTTGTAAATATTCCCTCACTGTCTTTTAAAGGGTAAACACAATTAATTATATAACATTGTAATCAATCTGCAAATGAAGTTGTTAATATATTGAAAGTCTGACAATATTGATTATAACAGGTTGAACTATTAGAGTTTTAGGAATTGCCATATTGTTATAATGTAGATACTTACTCATCAATGCAGCAATTTCAATATGACCATCAGTTACCACCTCCTTCATAACTATTGGTGGTGCAAGCAGTGTGTCCATCTTTTTTTCAAACCCAATCCTCTCCATATTATTGCTCTTACCAGCAGCTTCTCTCACATCAACCACATTCATTTGCAGTATGGCACGATCATTGGTATCAGCCAAGCTGTAAGTACAATATTGTGCACTATGGCCAGGCGAGTCATTCCTTCCATCACCACTCAATATAACCTCTTTGTTCTCTCTTTCTTTCCAACATTTCTGTTTGTGTTATTTCCAGTAGTCATTAATGGCAGGGATGATGTACAACTTCTGATACTGATTGAATAATATTGATGAGAAATACTGCAGATTACAGAAGTTGAACATCAACCCCACCTTGGCGTAGGAATTGCCAGAAAACAACAAAGCAGAAGCAAGCACAAGGTTGCCTGCTCTAATCTTGTTGCAAGAGGGTTGAGCTGCCCATCTGCCTCCAACATGACCAGACCTACACCCCCAAGATACGACCAGGCATGTTCCAACATATGTTTTCTTATAGCTCAACACACGGCCACATCCTTGTCGTTTACAAACACTCCCATGTAATGATGTTATCAAAGCTATAAGAGTGTCTGTAAACACAATACACTTTTCCTTCTTGATTGCATCTTCAGGACTGACTTCTTCCACAGTAGAGATGTATTCTGGTTGAGTCCTCCTATGTTGCTGCTGTTGTTGTTGTTGGGTTCCAACATCTTCTGTGGGCTTATCTCCATCATGTCCACAGATTGTCACATTGAGCAAGTCATCCAGTAATGGCACGTCAAAACCCGGGGGACATACACTACAGTAAAATGGCAGTAAGAGATATTATTGAACGAAATATTTTATGCCATATTCAGTGATATATAATGTGTATATTTATGTTTTAAATCAATAAGCATTACAGTAGGAATGTCACAAAGATTATTATTGAGGTTTTGCATCATCACTTACTCAAGAGAATAGTCCGACAAAACCTGGTCTGCCTGGATAGTGTGTTCACCAAAATTGTCATTATCATCATCACTTTCATCATCAGAACTATCATCTTTGGCTGTCAATGTTCGACTGTCAGAAATCATGATTATAGATGACCGTAATATAACTTATCTGAAATTTTCAAATATCCAATCTCATTTGTTACCTGAAGTTAACATAATACACCAAAGTGTTTAAAAAGCGAGTGTCCAGAATGATCTTTGCCAGTGCTTTATGGGCAGAAGACTCTTTCTTAAGCCATGGCTTCTTTCTCTCACTTTCATTAAGAGGATCATGTTCACATTTTCCACCATTTACACCTTCCTCCAACACCCACTCATGCTCATCAACAACATGGTGTAAAATCCAAATACAACATAAGGTGACTACATATTAACACATGTATGTACAGTTTGTACAAACTAGATAAGTATTGCTGCAAAAACCAGTAGTACTTCAATGTGAATCTTACTTTGAGATTTTTTGAGTCATTAGCACATGTTTTTGAACAATACCAAACTGATTACTGATTGAATAATATTGATGAGAAATACTGCAGATTACAGAAGTTGAACATCAACCCCACCTTGGCGTAGGAATTGCCAGAAAACAACAAAGCAGAAGCAAGCACAAGGTTGCCTGCTCTAATCTTGTTGCAAGAGGGTTGAGCTGCCCATCTGCCTCCAACATGACCAGACCTACCCCCCCAAGATACGACCAGGCATGTTCCAACATATGTTTTCTTATAGCTCAACACACGGCCACATCCTTGTCGTTTACAAACACTCCCATGTAATGATGTTATCAAAGCTATAAGAGTGTCTGTAAACACAATACACTTTTCCTTCTTGATTGCATCTTCAGGACTGACTTCTTCCACAGTAGAGATGTATTCTGGTTGAGTCCTCTTATGTTGCTGCTGTTGTTGTTGTTGGGTTCCAACATCTTCTGTGGGCTTATCTCCATCATGTCCACAGATTGTCACATTGAGCAAGTCATCCAGTAATGGCACGTCAAAACCCGGGGGACATACACTACAGTAAAATGGCAGTAAGAGATATTATTGAACGAAATATTTTATGCCATATTCAGTGATATATAATGTGTATATTTATGTTTTAAATCAATAAGCATTACAGTAGGAATGTCACAAAGATTATTATTGAGGTTTTGCATCATCACTTACTCAAGAGAATAGTCCGACAAAACCTGGTCTGCCTTGATAGTGTGTTCACCAAAATTGTCATTATCATCATCACTTTCATCATCAGAACTATCATCTTTGGCTGTCAATGTTCGACTGTCAGAAATCAAACTCTGACCCGACCTGAGATATAAACACATATTGCGTATTTAAAAAGTAATACTCTCTGCGCAAAACTTTGCATGTATGGGTTTCAAATTATAAACTCAGTAATCACAATAAGTTTCAAATTACCTGATAGAATATGATGTTCTAACATCCGACAAAGCAGACAATGGACGCAGTTTTAACTATAAAATATTTCATACGAATGTTTTATGCGAATATTTTAAAAAATAATAAATGTTTACGTTTTTGGAGCAGCACTTTAAAACATATGTTCTTACTGGGAGAAGAAAAATATTTGGAAGGTGTACTTGGCGGCATATCCGTTGATTCCATTACCGTTTCGGTTTGCGTCTCTGCATTGCTAAAGTGAGTTCAACACATACATAAAAAGCAATCAAGTAAACAAATAACACACAAAAAAGTCAGAGGTTTTATCATTTTATACTTACCAAACTATACGATTCATCGCAAGATAGCTGTCAAGAAGCATATCCGCCACATCCTTGTCTGTTCTCAATTTATGCTGCTCCTTAAACGCTCTCCATCGAGGGAAAGAACCCAACAAATACACTTTAGAGGCATCTCTACTAGCAATATTCTTTTCTACTCGACGACATGACTCAGTGCTCTTGAAAGATTGAGAATTTCTTTCTTAAATTGTCGGCTGGTCATGGTTTTTAGACTGAACAATCCGGGGGATTATCAACTTCGGGTGGAGTCCCCAGGCTGGCGCACGCGCAGAAGCCGTGTCTTTAAAACAGGCAAAAAAATAAGAAATTTCAACCGCTCTTCACCGCAATTTCGGCTCTCTTCACCGCAATTTCCACCGCTTTTCACCGCAATTTCCACCGCTCTTCACCGCAATTTCCACGGCTCTTCACCGCAATTTCCACCGCTCTTCACCGCAATTTCCTTTCGCTTCTACGCATGTGCGAGCTTTGTTTATATTTTTCGTTTTGGTGTGAATCCATTTCATTTGCACAACATGAAGTATCCAGAAAACTAAATTAAAATGGCAGACACATCAAGAGTGAAGAGTGGAGCTTTATAAAACCATTCAACAATTGTCTTTTAAAAGACAACCAAATAAATATTTTGAAAAACAACTACTGGGAGATATCTCCTGTAAGTTTGTCGATTTTATCTAAGTTTGAGATACTGTGTATAATTATTTTTACAGTGATTGTTGGATGATTATTGAATTTGGATAAAAGATTATACTCAGATAATGATTTTGTTTATAAAATACCTTCGTACTCTGTTCTAATATTGCAGGATTCAGATTTATGAGCAAGATAATCATGCTTCAATGGTCAAAGTAGCTCTTCTGAGTGTGTTTCATCATAGACATCAATGCCATGTGGGTCAACATCACTGAATGAAACTGCTTCAATACGAAAGCTTACAAGTGAAGATATAGATAGGAGAGGATTTTGATGGCGAGTATGGTTATCGAATGATTGAACTTTCAAACCTAGCAAGTGCATTTCAGTCCTTGCATAATTGGGAATTAGGCGGAGAGTTGAAAGTTACCGATGATGAGTCTCGTAGATATGGAAATAGCACAGTCATTGTTGAGTCAGATATTGCAGAGATTGCTGTGAGTTATGATAGCACATGGTCTAAGCGTGAGGGTTCACTGCAAACTTTGGAATTGATTTTGTTATTTCGGTTGACACAGTTGAGGTTCTTGACTATAGTTTTGAATCCAAATTATCGAAGTTTGACATGTATGCATTATTGATAATTGGTGATAAAGTTGCCAACCTTAGAATAAATTAATATATGCTAATCACTGAGTAGCATGTACGCGCACAGAACACAAATGTTGGGCTACCTATCGTATTACATGATGTTTCACCATTCGTTCTCTCACTTCTCTGAGCAAGAAAAAAAATCCTGAAAATTCAACCACATTCACCACAAAGAAAAACCACGCCTCGTGTTTTAATAAGTCACTGTTGGTATCTTTTTCTTGATTTACTCAACTATATGGATCGCTTCTGACACTTCACCCTCGCAAAATTTCGTAGATGCTTTAATATTTGTGCATGGTGAGACTGAAGTGAAGACTTCTAAAAATCGGACAATTCATTGATAATTGTCATGTAATTTCCTGGTATAACATCCCAACCTATACATTGTAGTTAAAATATGATAACAATATCAACCTCAAATTCAACTAATATTTTGTATGCAATCAAGAAAAATTTGGAAATGCTGGTTGTTAATTTTACTGCAATTATTACACAAGATATGATTACACTCCTTTATAATTACCCAATCCTGTCAGAATTGCTATCACATGTGAATGCAATATAATTTTTGTACACAATCATTATTTAATTATTGTTTTCAGCATAAATTATGCCTTAAGAGGCCTTCTCCAGACAATATTTATTGCAAGCTATATGATATTTGCTCCAATATTTGGCTATATTTGTGAAAGATACAGTTGCAAGCTCATTATGATCTATTGCCTCGTTATCTGGTCCTTAACAACATTTCTTAGCACACTACTTAATAAACACCTATGTAAGCTTTTACTGATTTCATACAGTGAGTTAGAAGTCAGATATGTTAAAAAAGAAGGAAAATGGTAGGTTAATGAAAGTTTGGTATGTTCTTGGTTCAAAAGTATCTTCCGCTTTAGTGGTGGCAATAATTTTATAATAGAGAAAACACAGGGTATGTAAACATGTGAAATAAACATGTTATTACTTGATGTGTTTCAGGTAACTCCAATCTTGGGTGTGCTTCTTATCATCTTGGGCTTTATATCTGTTGTTTGAACCTGTCTAGGGGCAAATTGAAAAGAGTCAGGGTGATATTGTTGCAGACAAGGATGTTATCATTCGTCGTTCATTGTTGAATGATGCGAAACATATGTTACGCTGGTAGGTGATTTTTAACAACAGATGTTGCTTACTGCAGGATGAACTGTTTAGAACTGACAGAATTATCCAATGTAAATATAGTTAGTTTGTGTAGGTTTCCTGCTGTAGTAATGCTGAATCAATAAGAGATGATCCAGTATGCCATTCCTTGTTATGCCCTTGATCCTAACTTTAAAATATATTGTTCTTTCTTATGTAAGTTAAACATGTATATCTGAAATTAAACATATAATTATTATTTCCGTAAAGACATTTCTATCATATAAGTGTTAGCAATTGTCTTGTTTCTTTGTAGATACAGACAGAGCCACAGCATCGGCAGTCCTTATATTGTGGGTTTGGTATGTAATATACAATTTCTTTTACCTAAAGCTGTGAATCACCGACACGCCCACTTAATCTAATTATGACGTCACTTCCGGTCAGCTGGGCTTATTTCGCTCCTTCCTTACGCTTTGACTTTGACTTCCGCTTTTTCGATAAGCGTGGTAAGACACGCCCACTTAATCTAATTATGATGTCACTTCCGGTAGGCGGGGCTTATTTCGCTACTTCCTTACGCTTTGACTTTCAACTTCCGATTTTTTGTGAAAGTGATCAGACACGCCCACTTAATCTAATTATGACGTCACTTCCGCTTGGCGGGGCTTTTTTCCCAACTTCGTTACGCTTTGACTTTCGACTTCCGATTTTTTGTGGGCGCGATCAGACACGCCCACTTAATCTAATTATGACGTCACTTCCGATATGCGGGGCTTATTTCGCTACTTCCTTACGCTTTTACTTTCAACTTCCGATTTTTTGTGTGCGCGATCAGACACGCTCACTTAATCTAATTATGACGTCACTTTCTGTGGGCGGGGCTTATTTCGCTACTTCCTTACGCTTTGACTTTCAAATTCCAATTTTTTGTGGGCGTGGTCAGACACTTTCAACTTCCGATTTTTTGTAGGCGTGGTGAGACACTCCGACTTAATCTAATTATGACGTCACTTCCGGTGGGCGGGTCTTATTTCCCTACTTCCTTACGCTTTGACTTTCAACTTCCGATTTTTTGTGGGCGCGATCAGACACGCCGACTTAATCTAATTATGATGCAACTTCCGGTATGCGGGGCTTATTTCGCTACTTCCTTACGCTTTGTCCTTCAACTTCCGATTTTTTGTGGGCGTGATCAGACACGTCCACTTAATCTTATTATGACGTCACTTCTAGTGGGCGGGGCTTTTTTTGCTACTTCCTTACGCTTTGACTTTTAACTTCCGATTTTTTTTGGGCGCGATCAGACACGCCCACTTAATCTAATTATGATGTCACTTCCGGTGGGCTGGGCTGATTTCGCTACTTCCTTACGCATTGACTTTCAACTTCCGATTTTTTGTGTGCGCGATCAGACACGCTCACTTAATCTAATTATGATGTCACTTTCTGTGGGCGGGGCTTATTTCGCTACTTCCTTACGCTTTGACTTTCAAATTCCAATTTTTTGTGGGCGTGGTCAGACACTTTCAACTTCCGATTTTTTGTAGGCGTGGTGAGACACTCCGACTTAATCTAATTATGACGTCACTTCCGGTGGGCGGGTCTTATTTCCCTACTTCCTTACGCTTTGACTTTCAACTTCCGATTTTTTGTGGGCGCGATCAGACACGCCGACTTAATCTAATTATGATGCAACTTCCGGTATGCGGGGCTTATTTCGCTACTTCCTTACGCTTTGTCCTTCAACTTCCGATTTTTTGTGGGCGTGATCAGACACGTCCACTTAATCTTATTATGACGTCACTTCTGGTGGGCGGGGCTTTTTTCGCTACTTCCTTACGCTTTGACTTTTAACTTCCGATTTTTTTTGGGCGCGATCAGACACGCCCACTTAATCTAATTATGATGTCACTTCCGGTAGGCTGGGCTGATTTCGCTACTTCCTTACGCATTGACTTTCAACTTCCGATTTTTTGTGTGCGCGATCGGACACGCTCACTTAATCTAATTATGACATCACTTTAGGTGGACGGGGCTTATTTCGTTACTTCCTTACGCTTTGACTTTTAACTTTCAATTTTTTGTGGGCGTGGTCAGACACGACTATTTAATCTAATTATGATGTCACTTCCAGCAGGCGGTGCTTATTTCGCCACTTCCTTACGCTTTAACTTTCAACTTCCGATTTTTTGTAGGCGTAGTCAGACACACCCACTTAATCTAATTATGACGTCACTTCCGGTGTGCGGGGCTTATTTTGCTACTTCCTTACGCTTTGACTTTCAATTACCGATTTTTTGTGGGCGTGGTGGAAAATGCCCACTTAATCTAATTATTACGTCACTTCCGGTGGACGGGGCTTATTTTGCTACTTCCTTACGCTTTGACTTTCAACTTCCAATTTTTTGTGGGTGCGATCAGACACGCCAACTTAATCTAATTATGACGTCATTTCCTGTGGGCGGGGCTTATTTTGCTACTTCCTTACGCTTTGACTTTCAACTTCCGATTTTTTGTGGGCGTGATCAGACACGCCCACTTAATATAAATATGATGTCACTTTTGGTATGCGGGGCTTATTTCGCTACTTCCTTACGCTTTGACTTATGACTTCCGATTTTTTGTGGGCGTGATCAGACACGCCCACTTAATCTAAGTTGACGTCAATTCCGGTGGGCGGGGCTGATTTCGCTACTTCCTTACGCTTTGACTTTCAACTTTTGATTTTTTGTGGGCGTGGTCAGACACGCTTATTTAATCTTATTATGACGTCATTTCCGGTGGGCGGGGCTTATTTCGCTAGTTCCTTACGCTTTAACTTTCAACTTCCGATTTTTTGTGGGCATGATGAGACACGCCCACTTATTATAATTATGATGTCACTTCCGGTTGGCGGGTTACTTGTTACTCAGAATTTCTTTTACTTACTCCGAGGAAGAACGCCAATAGCACCTTCTGCAAATAATCGCTTTCTGGTGTGCGATTCACCTGTAATTAGTTAAAAGGCATAGACATATTTATGTTATATATATATATATAATTTATATATATACAGTAATTTATATAATCGTACCTGCAAACCACACATGACACATTGTATATCGTTTACCTCTTGCAGGCATTTCATTTGCTTGCTCGCACACGTTTTGATCGCCAGTTGCTATTGGGGTTGAATCGGGAATTTTGTCTTGGGAAGTTCTCACGTCTGTTGTATTGTGATCTAATATAATTGGAAAGAGCAAAATAACGTAAATGAATTGTATGCCGGGCAGAAACAGGTATTGCATTGAGTCAGGTGCACGCAACTGTTGTAACGAGCATAAATATTCGCATGCAAGCTGAATAAGTCAAATAAAACGAACCTATTTTGGGTCTCTTTATTATTTTTTGAGCGACTTCAATGGCCTGTAAATTAGTCACAGAAAAATTTGTAACGCTTAAAACTTTATAACATTGTTAAAAACATTAAAAAAACTACAAAAGCATCAAAACTCGTTAGTAATTCGTTTTGATAATTTAATATGACATACCCAAGCAAATGTTTTCCTTTTTCTTGGAGTCAGGTTGTTATATCTAGCCTTTGTGTTCGGTGTAAGTTTCTATTTGAATAGTCAAGGATACACCGTGAAACACAGATTAGACAAGTCGTTAAACTGCTCATACAATCTCCTAACTGAGTAAGCCAGCATACCTCTGTAAAACTGAAGTCAAGCTCCTCTTCACTTTCGGTAGGTGCAGTTGTATTTTCGCGATATTGCATGACTTGACTATTTTTAAATGCTATACAAATGTGTTATCAAAGATTTCAAAACATTTAATATGCTGATGAAATACTCAAATAGTAATCCTCATCTGATTCTGTTATTTCTGTATACCTTCTAACTTTATCCTCAACTCGTTTTCGAGAGTGTCCAAGCTTTTGCAAACTTCGTCCGATATTGTTGTTGCTAGATTGTTGATTTATTCCAGATCACTCTCATTGGGGGCATCATCCCGAATTCCACTGGCTAATGAGTAATATTGTTAGAACAACGATTACATTCAAGATACAAAACACGCCTAAATTTCGAACCAGAAAGAATTGCATAGAAATTTATTTAAAGCTTTCTTACCATACGCTATCATATGTTGCGTGAATGGCATCAGTTTCCCCAGAGGAATTCGGTACGCTCTTTTCTGGCAAACGTGTTTCCTTTTAATAATTTGCTACAAGGTGCATTCCCTGTTTTTGCCGAAGTATATCCCTATTGTCCCCGGCTCCCGTACAAGCGTACTTTGCAATTCTTTGAATTCCTATTAAAACAACAAACATTTTGTGAAATGCAGTCACAAGACCGCGTTAGACTCCAACACTGTACGTGTTACTCACTGTATGTGAAATATGGACAAAACTGTCGAAACACTGCATGAAAAACCGCGTATTCACAGGTGAATACGTGCGAATATGAGTTCGAATATGGTCCATATTCACACGTATTCACAGATATTCACTGTGAATATCCTCGGAATATTGGGGGTATTCCGATGTGAATACCTGTGAATAAAACACACCGCGTATTCTGACCTAGAATACCTTCGAATACTCTGTGAATATTTTTCAAGACCTAGTATTCACACTTCGGCATAGAAAATGTGATTGTACGCATGAATACGGGATAATCAACGAGTTATATTGTGTAAATATTGCAGGAAATGCGTTTATATACCACGGAATAGGCAAAGGTTGTTTCAGTTCAATGCCGGTGTCAACTGTTATCCAGCATTTCTTCTCATCACGGTCACAAATTGAAATTGCGCTTGATTTGTTTAGGCGACAGACAATAAAGACAATAAATGTTACCAAACGCACGATGATTTTTATTTGATTAATTTTTTTGCTGCCGCAGGGATGTCGAGTATCGTATATCCTCAGTCGATGAGCGCTGAGTAGCCTCGTAAGTCGTAAAAAAGCTGTATAAAAGAGAAATATCCATCAATTTCTTTAATTACCTGTGTAAAAGAAGTTATATATAAAAAAATACTTTTATTTTTGCTTGGATACGTAAACACATGGGTAGAAAGTTGATGATTCTGTATCGTCAAAAGCATCCGTAATATATACAGTTCAGTGTTGGGAAATCGTAGGAAATTTCCTTTGGGAAATTTCCTCTTCGACATGTTAGTGACAATTTTTGCGCCAAGGAATTGCGGCGAAATTGCGAATAAATGGCGAAATTCGGAGGTCGTATAACAATAACAAATAAATGTCTTTAAATGATTCCTCGCAAAAGTTGTCCAGTTCCCTTTGTTTACAAAACGATAACATGGCACAAATGTCAATTGGTTTCAACCAGGGCGCTTATATATAAATGCGTGGTTTCAACAGAAGTTCAAGCTGTTCAACTTTGAATTGTTAAAGATGTTCGCGATGCCCCAAAATAATTCTTGTGGCGGCGCTAAAAAGCAAAATCAGGTAAGTTATTTAATAATAACAAGAGTTATGTCATACTATAGTCCTGAAACAACACAACACAACAACAATAGTGCGAGGCCAACGCTTTTACGGCTGGGCTCATCACTTTTTTTGTTTTTATTAATAAATAGATTACGATTGTGTTTATTGTAGCTAATTTGTACACAGCTAACTGTACCTGCTTGTAAATAAATAAATTGTATGATGGTTTTCATCAATCCTACCTCCATCACACACTAATTATAGTAGGTACAAATGTTTGCCATTTCAAAGCCATACTCAATACAAACAAAATTTAAAAGTTTGCCAATACTGAAAAGGGACATTACTTTCTTACCTACCACAAATATTCAGAAAGCTGCTGTAATCATAACTTTAACATAACATAACCCTTAGATAGACGTTTCAAGATGCATTGAAATGAGGTGCATTGGTGCATTTCATGAGGGTTTTTTATATTTTAGGCAAAATTTATATATTATAGATATATATTGTTATATAATTGTCACAGAATAGCTAATGATTGATTGCCAAAAGATTGAAATCTTAACAATCAGCTGCCCAAAGACAGAAATCTTAACAGCTTAGAAATCAAAGCCAGACTGTGTTTTTTAGTTATATATAATACATATTTTTTAACAAAATAATGGCCTATATTTTTCCTTTTAGCATATATGAATTATATTTACACTAATATTTACCACAGAATAGCTATTGAACTGGTTGCCAAAAGATAGGAATCTTAACAACCAGCTGCCCAAAGACAGAAATCTTAACAGCTTAGAAGTTCATGCTAGACTGTGTTTTTAAGTGAAGCCTTTTAACATTGCCCTCATCATAATTTATAACCTGAGACTGTTTACTGATTTGTTTGCAATTACTTTTCCGTACATAAAATTTAATCACAATACTTAAAGAATATACCATTAAAGTGTAGATGAGTTTACTACAGCTTCTCGATGTTTGCATACTAGGAGTAGCTATGTGTATATACAGCTTTAAGTTCATGGAAGAATTTGTTTCCATTTTTACCCTAATTGATTAGCTTTTAAATTATATGAATGGTGTGTACATTGTACATATACATTCTCCTAGGAATATGATAATTTCATTACACTGCATAAATTCTATGCACAACAATAAAAACAAATGGCCATGCATGCAACATCAGCTTTACCATTATCATTAACCTTTCGGATAATAATCTATTATAGCTTAAGAAAGTTTGCTATGTATTTTGTTCAATAATTGCTTTAAGGTGGTTTTAATTGTTTTTAGCCATCAGGGGTTGCAAGATTGAGAAAATTCCCAAAAGAGTTGGCCTTAACTTTGCTAAAGATGAAGAGGATTTTTCACCCAGTGAAAGAAGTTCCTGATTCATTATCTGCTCACCTATAGTTTTTAATATCTTACCAAGTGAAAAAACATCACTTGCTTTGCTCAACAATTTACTATTAAGTATAATTTCTGATATACTCCAGGAGCAATGTTTCATATATACTAAAACAACATTGCTTATAAATTAACAATCAGCTGATGAAAGATTGAAAATCATAACAGCTTAGTAGAAGTTCATGATAGGCTGTGTTTTTGCTACATATTTTTGAACAATTTGTGATGTTCCAATAATATTTTATAAAATGTGAAATGTTGTAACCCATCACATGTACATGATCTGTTAAGGACTGTATAAAATTTAAATAATTGACTGAAATCTTAGTATTGCATTTGATCAACCTTGATAAAACACATTAACTGTGGATAAACCTACCATTGCAATGTGTATGACTGCTATGCAAATTAACATGGCAACCTAATGATTATGCATGTTTGTTCATATTGATATTTTGCTTAATGGACAGACTTGAGGGACAATAAATGCCTAAACATTCGCACAGGCTGCGAATGCATAACCCATTAACCTCTTATCACCAGGTAATTTGAATAAAATGTTGAGATTACTCCCAACATGGTCATAGGGTATAGTCTATAGGCCGGCTATTGAATTCAACTGCACGATATTTAGTCACTCACCGAAGAGGTCCCTTACGCACAAACAGTATATGCGTTTTTGGTTTTGAACAATAAAAAATCCTTGAAATACGGTTAATATTCGTTATCATTTTACACGTATTAGCGAACATAAGGTGCTGTGGAAATCGCGCCATGCAATCTCATTTCTATTTCGCGCATTTTCTTCATCAGACTTCGTGGGAATCGTAGCATACAAATACTCGCCGGCATGCTCTTTAACTGCGACCAGAGTTTCCAGACTTTACCAAGCCCTTGGCATCCTTCACTCTCTTCCCTTATTTATAAGCGCCAAAAAGATTTCTTACAGCCACAAACGCACGATCTCCTCGTTCAATGTTTATTAAACTCGAAAGCGCGCTTTTTGGTTTTTGCGCCAAATTATTTATAAAATTCCACTTCAATTTTTCAGCATTCAAAATAAAGTTTAAAAATGTCAGCTGATGAATTTATTTTGTGGAAACACGGATTAAGTGAGAAGTGAGATATTCCAAGTGTGAATATTGTTCAGAATACGCGGCATATTCATGGCGTATTCACACTTAGAATACTGAAGAATACGATGCCGTATTCACACTAATATTCCATGTCGGAATACGCTTGCAATATGTGTTTTATTCACACCCGTATTCACATGTGAATACCTTAGAATACGGCGCTTTTCATGCAGTGAAGCAGTTGACAGTAGCTCAATGCCTGGAACCTTCATCCCTTCGATATTCTTGACAGTAACTTTAGGGTGCAGCCATGAAAGAATCTTAAAAGAGATCAGCAAAATCTGTGAATGTTATATCCAAGGAAATCGAACACTGTGTATATGGCGCCATTTAATACTTTATTTTGTCCGCAATTTTTTTTATGTAAATAGAAAAATGAAAGAAAACAAACCGGGTCTTTTTCCTTGGCTATCTTTTCAATGATGTTAGCTTCTAGCCTTTGCATTGTTGAACGTATACTTACTGTCTGCACCTTTAATAACTCGCCGCATGCAAACAATACGTAATCTTTGGTGTTCGCTTGGTTACCACACGAGAGACGTAACTTAAATGAGAAACATAAATCATGTAAAAATGAGCTCTATTATTGAAAACTAGTCCGATCTATTTTTTGCGAGTTATTTGAGTTTCACATACCAGAGCATTTGCGACAAGTACCGCGGCAATACCAGACAACCACCTTGCCTGCACCTTCAGGTCGTTTTCATCGAAGATCGCTTGGACGACCTCTTCGACAATTTCACGCGCATGTTCAAAAACCTCAGCATAACTCCAGGTATTTAATTGCCCAGACAAGCAAAATACCCTATATAACAATGACATATATTGGTCATGGATTTTGAAGGTATAGTAGCCTAAAATAATTTATGGTTAAGTTGAAGTACACGACGTTTACATTTCCATATAGACTAAAATATACCTTGTTTTCTTGCATGAACTCTTGCATAACCTTCAGTTGCTTGTCGTCAAACTTGGCTTGTTCATTCCGTTCCTCGTTCCAGCTCACGTAATTAAACCTAATAACTCTCCCTACTAATCTACAATGAAACAGATTTCGAAGGCTAAATGTTAATAACGTAATTTCAGTTTAAGAATTAAAAGACAATTCATTAATAATTGCATAAGTGTACTACCGGAAAACTTCGGGAGAATTCGTCGATATTAACGTGGCGGCCTTGATGGATGTCATCCCCACCTTATTTAATCCAGACATCAGTCGCCCTTGTGCTTGCAGCAGAAACTCGCTGAAGTTAACATTGGGTTTAGGGTCATCAATCATTATAACCCCAGTCGTTCTCGATGCTATCTCTTGCATTTTCTTTCTATTAAAAATAATTGAAGTCTGCTTTTCAAACATTTGCGAAAAAATTTTTTTATAACAACGTATAATTTTAACGTGAAACTCACGTAGATGTCCCACATGTCTGGGAGTCTCCACCACTTAGTAACATTACGTGCGATCCATTGGGAATTCCAACACCCCGAGCAAGGAGATTTAGACTCTCCGATTTCCCTATGCTCCTTTCTTCGGAGAATATCATGCCAATAGAACTCTCTCCTAAATGACGAAGACGTTAAAAACAAAGGTAACTATGAGAAAAGAAATTGCAAAATGTTAATACTGTCTATGGTAGTACTGTACAGTGAAGTTATTTACGTCTTTCACTTTCCGCGATTGAGCTACCTGTTCATTCAAACAGTAACTTACTCCAAACATCTTCAGGATTGAGAGCATTCCTCAGCAACCGAGCCACAGTGAATGCTGTTGCCAGCAAAAATGAGTCCATATTAGGGCCCAAGCATTGCAAAAGTAGTATGAACCTTAGAAAAAAATGAATATATAATTAAAAAATTATTTGGTATAATCGTTTATGTAGTCCAAGTGATACTTGAAAATAGTTGGCCAAAAAAGTCTAGTAGTGCGCTGTAGATGTTTCGTAGCCCCAAAACACCGCATTTTTACCTTGCAACAGAACGATTCAACTTTGCGTAATCGTTCAGTAAGCTTTCGTTAATTTGCAATTGGTGGTTTTTTAAAGACTTGTCCAATATTAGATACTTATGATCAATTGGATCTAACACTTTACCATTCTCAATATGCACCTGTAATAATTGAAATTGAATAATTAAATAAACTAATAAAGAGAACGTTCCCAGGGGCTAAACAAAATGCTTTCAGTTGGAGAAGGGATATAAACTAAACGCGAACTTTAGAAATCAACAGATCTCAATATTCTAGTTTTGGTTGTTTCGTTTTAGAATAGTTATGTTTTTCTTTCAAATGCACAACTAGGTAAATATTTATACAAGCGTAATACAACATACATCATTGGAAATAATCCAGTATTTATTCCCTTGGTATCCCATGAAACGCATTTCATGGAAAACCCTTTTGTTCTCTTGTTGGGAGAAGTCTTCTTTCAGGTAGCAGGCGTACGAATGAACGACAGCTGACGTCAGTGCGGCCCCAATAAGAACGTTCCTTCTCCATAAGCAGCTCTTAATGAGTCAATGAAACGTTGCTTCGAGTCGAAACAATTGACGTTCAATACGATAAGTCTGAAAAAATCACCAGATGGCACATGCAATTGTATCGTTCGCGTAGTCTTTGAAAGCTATCTACTTCTGAACTATTTATAAGAACATGTTTGTACTTAAAAATCAGGCACATTATAATTAATCATCGGAAATAAGAAGAAATTGGCAGAAATTGGTCAAAACGTGAGCACTGGAAAACTAATTTTTATAGAGAACTGAGCGAAATTTTCTTTCGAGAAAAAGGCGATCAAAACTTTCGCGGGCATTTTAGCGATGCCAGATTTTTCCACCTCCTACTTCTGTAAGCCTGTTCCTTACGCCTTTGCTAATCGCTGTTTGTGTTTTTTATTAATCTTAAGGTGTGAAAATAATTTCATTTAATATCAAAGCAAAAAAGTATATTATCAAATATTACTTTTGTATCCCGATACATATTTTATGTGTATCTATATAGGTGCCATGATAATGTGCCCTAATTATCACACATGCCGCTGGATCGGAAATGCATTGTGAAACTAGTATGGACAATGACGCGGTTGTTTAGAGCCTATATTCAGTGTGTAAACTGGCTATATACAATGATGTGCATATTTTAAAATACATTTCGTATAGGGTCTAGTTTATTCAAATTGAGTAACTGTTAATCGTATACATCTAATATCGTATGTATGGAAATGCACAAGTCTGCGCAAGGACACAACAGGACCATTTTCATACTAAAACAAGAAACCACCCGGTACTTTAATGAGTCGCGAAGAACTCGTATAAAAATCCCATTTACAATAAGCTTATGTTGGCCTAGGTTTACACTTTTGCCTTATTGTAGCGGCAGTTTGGGAACAAATTTACTGTTCCTATTCATTCGAATCGTTTGTGACGTTTAAACAACGCGTCATTTCAGCTGCGACTTATTTTCGCTCGTATATATTGCCCTAATGTGTATATACAACTTCAGTAGTTCCATTTGTTTTTATACACGAAAAACTATATTGTGCGCGCGAGCGTATTTACCATGCATAAAAAACTCCAGTGTGCGGAGAAACAATAAATGTATATCGTTTAACACTACACAAACCTGATCGTAGTTTCCTCATCTTCGGAGGCTGAACCACAACAGCAAACCCAATGCCCAGCAGAATTTTCTTCTTCTTTCAGCTTTAGCTTCCCAAATATTTTGAGCGAGAAATCCCCAAACATGGAAAATTTTTTCCCATAGTAAATTTTCTTGCCAGCCACACAAAACATTGTTAAAACACTTTCAATCTACATACGAAACGAAGATCAATTTAATATAGGGATACCAATTACCATATTCTCAATGTTATTGAAAAATAAAAATCTCGTTGCTCGCTTTACTAACCTCAGTGTCAGACATATTTATATACGTGCCGAAAGGTCTACAAACTTTCCCACTTGCCAAATAGTGAACTTGCTAAGAGTTGAAGGAGAAAGGGAACGCAAGCATATGATAACTGCTATATATACCATACGAAGATCACATGACGGCATAAGGTTAATCACACTTAATTAATGACACTTAATTAATGACAAACCATCTATATGGAGTGTAATATGAGACGGAAGGTGCATGGTAGCATATGATGGCAGGAAGTGCAGAAGTATATAATGAGGATATTACTGTGAAACCTTGTAATGTGTGTAAGTAAAACTTGTGAAACGTGCAAACTTCATGATTGCTTTCAAAGCAAAACTGTTGGTTTTTTTATGTTACATACATATACACACATCAATCGTTTTATTTCGTTTCATTGTTTTGAGTACGTTTTGTATTTCAAAGCAATGTTTGTGAATTGTGACATCCTCTAATAATGTTACTAGGTGATGCTGTCCAAGTTGTCAGGGAAAAAATGTCAAGCTTTTCAACGGCTATAAATAGACCACTTCAAAAATAGCGGCTATTAATCGCTATATAGATGTGTTACTATTATTAAAAGTATTAATAGTCACAAAAATGACAGTTGCCCTTGACAACTTGGTCAGCGTTCCCTGGCAACATTTCAGATGACGTCACAAACATAAATCTCACTGCTGCAAAACTTAAGGGCCTAATTCCACGGGCGCTTTTTCTCCGCGAAATATTTCGCCTGTTTCTTGTATGTTTACGAGGTTTACAGAGTGCGATTTAACGTTAACAGTTTTGTTTTCACTGAATAATCACATACACAACATGTTTTTCAGGATATTGTCTTGTATATTTAAGTTTCTGCCAGTTCCTTGTGATCAAATCAATAAAGATATCAGATATCACGATGGGCGAATAACTAAAAAAAAGTGTGCGAGATTTGCGGATTTCGAAAATCGATAGGGATTTTTACAAATTTTTGTGATAATTTTTTTTAAGGTATTCTTGTGACTTTATATGGATTTTAAGATCTTTTTACGGATTTTTAGGAATTTGTAGTGATTTTTAATGGACTTCTAAGGGACTTTTAAGCCTTTAGCTTAGGGAATTTTTTTATCTACAGGGCGTACGAGATTTTTAAGCGATACACCCCTCGATAAATCTCAATATCATCTGCATAGCCCAGCAACTCACTTTTCCTGATCGCATAAGCTAAATCGTTCATAAAAACAGTAAACAGCATAGGCCCCAAAATACTGCATTGTAGTACCCCAGCTGTCACACCCATCTAATTTGAGTATGCCTCCCCTAACTTCACCCGTTGACTACGACTTGACAGATAACTTCGCAAAAGGTTTACTGCTTTATCGCCCAAGCCATAGAATTTCAGTTTTTCCAAAATAAGTTCGTGTCGAAGACAATTGAATGCTTTACTCAGATCCAGAGCAACAGCCTCAATCTTATTATAACTGTGATAACATAGATAACATCGTCTAGTTGACGAAAACCGACCAAAATCCTGAATCAAGCACATGCTGCAGCCATCTTGCTTTTGGAGGTAAGGGGCCACGCTGCTCTTGTTCAATTCTGACATTGAAAAATAAAAACATAAAGCAAACGAAAGTGTACTACGACTGCTACGCTTGCTACGCTTGCTACGCTTGCTACGCTTGCTACGCTTGCTACGCTTGCTACGCTTGCTACGCTTGCTACGCTTGCTACGCTTGCTACGCTTGCTACGCTTGCTACGCTTGCTACGCTTGCTACGCTTGCTACGCTTGCTACGCTTGCTACGCTTGCTACGCTTGCTACGCTTGCTACGCTTGCTACGCTTGCTACGCTTGCTACGCTTGCTACGCTTGCTACGCTTGCTACGCTTGCTACGCTACGCTTGCTACGCTTGCTACGCTTGCTACGCTTGCTACGCTTGCTACGCTTGCTACGCTTGCTACGCTTGCTACGCTTGCTACGCTTGCTACGCTTGCTACGCTTGCTACGCTTGCTACGCTTGCTACGCTTGCTACGCTTGCTACGCTTGCTACGCTTGCTACGCTTGCTACGCCTGCTACGCTTGCTACGCTTGCTACGACTGCTACGCTTGCTACGATTGCTACAGCTGCTACGCTTGTTACGCTTGCTACGCTTGCTACGCTTGCTACGCTTGCTACGCTTGCTACGACTGCTACGCTTGCTACGCTTGCTACGCTTGCTACGCTTGCTACGCTTGCTACGCTTGCTACGCTTGCTACGCTTGCTACGCTTGCTACGCTTGCTACGCTTGCTACGCTTGCTACGCTTGCTACGCTTGCTACGCTTGCTACGCTTGAAAAGCTTGCTACGATTGCTACGCTTGCTTCGACTGCTACGCTTGCTACGACTGCTACGCTTGCTACGACTGCTACGCTTGCTACGACTGCTACGCTTGCTAGGCTTGCTACGCTTGCTACGACTGCTAGGCTTGCTATGCTTGCTACGACTGCTATGCTTGCTAGGCTTGCTACGCCCGCTAGGACTGCTACGCTTGCTACGCTTGCAACGCTTGCTACGACTGCTACGCTTGCTACACTCGCTATGTTAGTGCTGTATAAACATTTACGCCTATCTTATAGTATTTAAAACCCGGCAATAAACAAGTGTGACAAAACAGTCTGACA